AAGAACAGAAAAGGGCGGAGTGGGTGGGTTCTTTTGGGCACGGCCGATCGGCTCGTGCCAAAATGGCCACGGATAAATGGCCTCAGGGCAGTTCTTACGATCGCAAAACTGATCCCCCAATTCCAGACCTACCTAGCCGATAATTAGGAGACGTATGTATGTATATGTACGCGTGTATGTGTACATATATATATATACATATAAATATGTATATATATATATATGTACATACATACATACATACATACATACATACATACATAGCACATTCATGTAGAGTCTACTCGGGCCAATGGTAAACAGATGACGGTGCTTTGCTTCGGCAGCCTCCCAAGGCTCCCATCTGTGTGTTGAAGGACCAGGATCTCCTGGACTCACTGTCCTGGAGGCAGGTCAACGTACCGTGTTCCATCAGCACGAACATCATCCAACATTGTCCACTAGCAAGCGAGTGGCGAAAGCCCTATGCGAGTGTAACTTTCAGAGCGGATTAAGTTTCACATGCTTTCCTTAACAGGTTGGCACATACCTGAGAAGGATGTGATGCGAATGTCTCCAACGGCAACCCTAGGCCTGAGGCTTGACCAGAGCGCTGCCATGCTAGAGAACCCAGTGAAGGTTGCGAGTCCTCGTCATCCCCGGCTTCAGATGCGACCTGAGCAGAGCAGGGTCAACAAGGCAAGTTTGAAGAGGGCGAGCAGCCCCCGCCCGATGCATGAGGCCGGCATGGAGGCCGTGCACTGAGCCGAGCAGCTTCCGATGGAGCGCCACTCTCCAGGCCACCGTCCATGTTGGAGACGAGAGACCTCTGAAGAGACACTGACAGGCGGAAAAGGCCTGAAAGAAAAAGGGCTATCCACCCACTATCCCCTGCGGCCACGGCATGGTCTTCTGTGAGCTTGATCCTGGCTGACACACAGAGGCTAGGATGACGACTGAAGGCTCTGGGCTCTGGGGTCGTTGCGCGTTTGCTCTTCAATATCACCCCCTGGCTGTGCATCGGCGATCTTGCTACCAGGACCGCGTTTGCGTTGACCGCTGCCTTCTCCATCCAAGTGTGATGCCGCCACGCTGTTCTTGCTGTCACCGCGATGGACTTGGCGGTGTGACCGCGGCGAAGTGCTCTTCGCGAGCTTGGCATGAGCAAGGCAGGATCAATTGCACACCACCAGGTCACAGGCAGCTTGCATCTGCAAAGCAAAAAAACAAGAGAGTTGCATGTTCGCTCGGGCATCGAGAGCGAGAGCCCGGCTCTGTCAGGCCCATGTACCGGACACAGGAAGGCTACTTGCCTGCAGGAGCTTTGAGCTTTCGAGCTTTCAAAGATGCCACGGCTAAATTTTCCTGTTCAGAGGTGTGCAGATACGTGGGCTCAACATGGTAGGCCTCGTCGTGACGAAAGGAGACAAGAACGACGCTTGCGTGTGGGGCACTGGCACCCCGATCTCACACACCTGCTCCAAGGAAGCATCGGCCGCATCAATGGACCCGTGAAACACTTAGAAATCAAGCTGCAAATCCTGCCTTGAGGCCATTCCAGCAGTACCATTTCTCTGCATCATTGATCGCCTTCTCCGCGTCGTTGCCTGCATTGCTGCCATCCGGCGCTCTCGTTTGCCAACCAAGGTTTCTTGGTTTTGGGTGCTGGCGGGCGACTTGTGCTGGTGGTGCAGCAGCCCAACGAGCAGGAGTAGGTGTAGAGTCGAGCGGCTGGCCTCTTTGCTGCCACATGTGCCACGAGGGTCTGGCTCAAGCCGAAAAGGTCTGGGCATTCAATCTCGCTCAGCCTTTGCCTGCGCTGGCTCAACACGAACCCTTTGAGCTGAGCCGCTCCAGTTGGCAGCCACATTTGTTGTCTTCTGAATATCTGGCAATGTAGCTTTTGATCAAGGATGGGCTGTTGACCTCGGTGCTTTAAGATCTGCAGTATCAGAGTGCACGGCAGTACTATCCGAGTGGCCCATGCCAGTGGTTCAGACTCTCGACCCCGATGCTGTGGCCGTCCATAGAAAATGATAATTGCCTGCGGTTCTGATGCCACCAGTTCAAAACGGGCACACACTTGAAACTCAACTTCAAAGCAACGACCCGGCCGGAAAGTCAAGAAATTCGTTCATCTCGAACACCTGGGCAAGCCACATCACCCATCCGATGAATCGGAGTCGGAAACTCATCCTCAACACCTACGGACCTACGGAAGAAGATTACACCGAACGGAACTACACCATTATCAGCTAATCCCTCGTAAGACCTGAGGACCAGCTCGAAGGCTGTCGGAGGATGCACGGGAGTGTTCTGTTTTCCGTTTGGGACACCCTGGCTCTGCCTGGGGCAAGATGAGAGCAGCAGGAGGACTATGCTCTTCGCCGCCCTCTAGGCAACCCCCTCGCAGCCTACGGCAGGAGAACCGAGCACGCCAAGTGTCTGTGCGGCTGTCCTTCGTACCAGAAGCCTCACGGTCTGTCCATTGCTGAGTGCCAAAGGAAGCACCCTGCCCCTGGGCCTTGTTCGAGTTGTACTGATCCCCAATGTACTGCAACCTAGGCAGAAAGTGAAGCGAGGACTTGCGCGATTGAACTCCGAAACACTCGGAGACTAGGCCATCACCATCGGAGGTACGATGGGGTCGGATCGACACCCGCATAAAGCACCTGTCATGACATCCCGTCTTGGCCATCATGATGAGATACGATATGCTCTTCGGTACATTGAGTGCAAAGGGGCTGCTACGAGCCTGCCGCTCTGGGGAGAAAAGGAGCGCCGACAATGCCACGAAGGAGTCAATGCAAATGATGGGAACCTGTTCCTCAGTGATTCAGCGGTTCCTCGAAGTTCTTTTATTAGGATGGCATCAAGCCGTACGTCAGACATCTAGGCATCAGCGTGGGAGCACTCTCATCACGGAAGCAGAGGCAACTCCGCTAACTGATGTGCAATCAGGTCCCTCTTGACAACCCTGCAGCAGGAAAACAGCGACCCGAATGCATCGCCACGAAGAACTAAGAGAGAACGCGGGCCGTTAACAGAGCAGCAGGAGCAGCAGCAGCAGCAGTAGCAGCAGCAGAAGGAGGAGGAGCAGTAGTAATAATAATAATAATAACAAAAACAATAATAATAACAATAATAATAATAATAGTCGTAGTCGTAGTCGTACAAGGAGAAGTACAAGAAGTGGATGTAGTTGTAGCAGTAGTAGTTGTGGTGGTAGTAGTAGTAGTAGTGGTGGCGGTGGTGGTGGTGTACTAGCAGCAATAGTAGCAGCGGTGGTGGTGGTGGTGGTGGTGGACGACGACGACCAGTACTTGTATTGTGGCACTAGTAGTGGTAGCAGAGCTGCAGCAGTAGTAGAAGAGCACTGGCAGTAGCAGCAGCAGCAGTAGCAGTAGCAGTAGCAGTAGCAGTAGCAGTAGCAGTAGCAGTAGCAGTAGCCATCAGGCGTTGGTTCGTGAGCATCGGACGCGTTGGCTCACAGCGAGGGTGTCGGAGGTTGTCCATACTTCACTTTCAGCGAGTCTTTTTGAGATCACATGTTGGAGTGCAGATTCAGCCACCACAGTTTCACCAAGCGCTTGGTCAGGCAATACGCCCGCCAAGTGCAGAGTACGCTGGCGCAGCGTTCAATTGAAAACTTGTGGTCGTGATTGTGGTTGCGGTTGTGGTCGCTGTTGTTGTAACAACAGCGGTTGCTATTGCTAGTCGCTGCCCAGTCTTGTTGTTATTATCATTAGTACTATCAGTATAAAGTTTGTATTTTATTGTTATTATTGTTGCTGCTGTTGTTGTTGTTGTTGTTGCTGTTGTGGTTGTTGCTGTTGTGGGTTGTTGTTGCTGTGCTACTGTTCTTGCTGCTGTTGCCGGTGTTGGTGCTGTTCTTGGCAGTGGTGGCGGTGGCTGTGTGAAAGAGTGAAAGCAGGGCCTGGCCTTCTCTTCGAACCATAATACCGAGCAAATAACCATCGGCTTTGGTCCGACAGGACCCACCACGGCATGCGCGGGAGACTGACTGCCGTCGAGGCACTGGTGGGTCTTCCAGCTTGGAAACGACCCTCCGACTCGCCAAACTTTCTCGGTAGTGCGAACCTTGATTGACCACTGTAGTGGCTCAATTGGTTCCGACCAAAGCGCAGTGAAAGTCAGGTCTCGGCCGATCATGAGCAGTAGCCAGTAAACCGCATTGAAGGGCTTTTCCTTACATCGCAAAGAGCATCGACAGAAAGTCAAAGCCTGGGGTCGGAATTGAAAGTTGTAGAAAGGAATAAACAAGTCAAGGATCAATGGCAGTCTTGCAACGCTGGCACCATCTTTCCAACTCGCCTCCAACAATAACTCTGTAGTCGGTGCTGCCAAAGTCCAAGTAATGTCGCCTGAGCAGTACAACGTCTCCTTCCTGCACGAACCACTCCTACTAACTCCCACAAGTCCACACCTTCCCGGCTTCAGGCTCGGAGGATCTGAGCATGGCGCCATGCAAGCTTGAAGGTATGGAACGATCGAGGATCAAACCTGCAGCGAGCCAGTGTGGAAAATGCTGTAAGTAACTCCACATCTGACAAAGGTGCATAGCCAGGGAACTGGAACATAGGGCGGAACAGCTGCTTTGGCTCGATCAACAGGGTCGTAACTGGCACTGTGGGCCTAACAAGCGCAAGGAGCCCCCAGGACAAAGAAAGCCGCAACCTACGTCCAGAAATGGACGCTGCAGGCAGCTGTAAATATGTGTCAAGCAGCTGGTAAACAAAGGCACAGCCAGGCTTGTGCACGAATGAGACGACACACGAAGTCCTGTGGCGAGTTAGCGCCATCGTTCTCACTGTCACAGCACGGCCACAAGTAGGAATCCTCGACTTCTTGATCTCATTCTCCCAGCTGTGCTGGTACCACAGAACGATCGGAAAGCTGATATGCAGCCTCACAGGTGAGCTTGCTACCTTCCGTTACTTCTGCCTTACTTCCTGCCCTTCGAGACAGCAGTGCAACAATCCCACTGAGACCGAAACCTGCCACCGTACGCTCCAGAGGACCTGTCAGAAATCCAGGCGCCGGCTCCCCCGCTCTCGCGCGCACCGCGCCGAGTTCTCAATTCTTTAGGGCTGTCTTGCGGGGGAATGGCCTGAACTTAGTAAGTCGCTTTTCTTGGGTCTCTCCACCCTTGAAAAAAGCTCCTGGCATGCCGAAGCTGGTTAGGTTTGCCGAATGTCACATACCGGCCGTTGAGGGAATGGGCGGTTCCGGAAAGCCGGTGTACGAGAAGCGCGGCAACATGGTGCCCGTTTCCGTTACATGGGGATCTTGATTGTGATAAGCGAGGACGGAATGAAATCATGTCCAATCCCGAGAAGCAATGAAAACGCGGAGAGCCAAACACAGCTTGACTCTTGAAAGGCTGGCCCCTCTTGGGACACGGACTAGGGGTCCGCACCAAGATGAGACAGCCTCAACAGTGTAAGATGTCGTTTGTCATGGGCTGCTATGTTCATCTATGTTCCATCTCCTCCCTCGCCCTGGCAGGGCTCCGCAACTGTTATCGTACACGCAAGCCGGGCTTGCTTTTTTGCTTGCCTCGCTAGGCATGGCAACACTCGGGCTTCTGGACCAAGGAAGGTTCGTTTATTGATCTTCGGGCTCGGGGAGGCGACGAGCTGTAAATTCGCTGGCATGCCCTGATGCAAGAAGTAGCGGATTGGTGGCTACACATATGATCTCTCAGCACTCCGACCGGACCTTTCCCAAGTGAAGTTCTGACCACCGGCCATGCTTCGGACTCGTTCCATCGCCTGGGCAGGATGAAATCCACGTTCCTAGAAGTAACTTTACAGCTTGCCGACCCGCCTCTGACAGTCAGAATGCAAACATTCTAGCAGCTTCTAGCATGTAACAGTCCCGGCACGTCAAACAAGCCAGAGCTGTCCATCCAAATCCCGACCTCGGAGAGCGGCATCGGATTGTTCTCCACATTGACCAGTTCTTGGAAAGAACAAAGGGGTGCCTGCAGAGGCAGCGAGGCAACAAGGCAACGCTGCCAGCGTGAACGTTCGAGTTGGGGTGGACCATGCCTCGAACGGCTGCGATTGCCACTTCCAACGTCCGTGACCCCTCTCCCGCCGCTGCGTGGCAAACTCAGGGACCTTGTGTGCGGGCATGCCACGGCTGAATGATGCGATGCGCTTGACCTCATCCTCTTCAATCTTCGAGGTCATGCACAGTCAAAGGCGTGCCAGGTTTTCTTCCAACCCGTCTACTGCAAGTAAGGCGCAGGAGTCTCGGGCTTTTTCGCCTCCGCCTCTTGACCACCCTCGCAGGGTACAAAGCTTCAAACGGGAAGGCATATGGAACACGTTGTCATGGCGAGCAAGTTCCCCGATCTCCGGACGCATCGCTGTGCTAAGATGAGCCAACATCTTTCTACTTCCAGCTCGTCGGCTAGCACTTGCTCCCGCACGAAGTGTCGCAAACAATTTTCTGGATTGGTCCGCCAGCCTTGTCGAACTGCTTTGTGGGGCTGCGAGATTTATCCTGCAGCGGGAGCCAGCAAACGCACTTCAATACTTCGTTTCATGGAGTACATGTCAGCATCTGCTCTCGCGCTGCTCGCCCTCCTGTCGAGCGTCCGAACGCTCCTCTGCTGACTCCTTGTCCTGGCGAGGTATGTGCAGCTGCGGATGCGGCATGCAAGTTGCTACTTTCGGTCCTTGTCAGTGGGTCGTGATCCTGACGTCATCGCCATACGCTCGGCGACCGAGAGGCGCCGGTTGCCACCCGTCGTCGTGTCCGTTGCACCTGCAACCTCGCTGGAGGGAAGAGGGAAGCAGCAGCAAAAAACAGCTTGCAAGCTCAGAGCTGCGAGGCAAGCAACTGCACTGAGTGCAGACTTGAAGGCAGCCGCAGCTTTCACGAGGGCGGTCTGTGACCTGGCAGCCTTGTTCGGGTTGGATTTGCGGTGCCCGCCTGGCTCTGGCGACCCTCTCCGGGATGAATTCGGGTCGGTCTGATCACTGGGCCGACTTTGCAGGTCGGATTGGAGGTCGGATTGCACTGAAGGCGAAGCAGAGCGTCGATCGACGGCACCAAGCATCTGTGCTAGCTTCTGCCCTTCAGTTTTCTCCTCCTCCCGAGTGACTTGCATGAGGGCTTTCACCGCCGAAAATAATGACTTTTTCCCGGGCGCAGTCCTCGGTTTATGCTGACTCGAAATAGGACGGCCCACTCGCCACTACGCACAAGCAGCAAAGCAAGGGGAAAGAGAAACTAAACTAAACCGTCTTGTGGGTGCCTCCACAACGCACTGCAACACGACATTCGCTTTCCAGTGCCTGCAAAACGGGCTCAACCTCGGGAAACCGAGTGGCTTTGGCGATGAAGGGGCCGAAGATTTCCTTGCACAGATGAAACAACACGGGCTTCTGGCCTGCAAGCTGTGCTAAGGCGGTGTCGGCTAGTGGGTGCGCAGAAAGCCGACATATCCAGACCTAGCTAGCCAACAAAACTAAAGGCCAAGATGCGGCGGCTCCTCAACTTTCTCCTCGGAATCCACCTTGGCCTCCACCTTGGCCTCCGTCTTAGCGCTGGGCTTGGCGAGCTTTGCTTCAGCCTTTGCTGGTTCCTCTCGCGCCGCACTCGCTTGCGGCGCTTCCTCTCTGTTCTCTTTGACACGGCTGCCTTGGTTCTTTGACATTCAATGCTGGAGGGGAGGCCTTCTCCTTGAATTTTTTGACACTCCGGAGAGGAAGGGGTGGGAGCCAAGTGGCGCCGGGCATGCGATGAACCCACCATCCGCCGCTGAACGCTGGGTCCACGCTTCTGCCGCGCAGGGCCTCCAAGCGTAGGCCGCCGAGGCGTGGGCGCCGACGGCACCTCAAAAGGGAAGACGCCGGAATGCGAAGCAGAGATGAACAAGAACAGACGAAGCTCGCCTTGACCTATATACACAGACACAGAAACTGACGCAGAATGTGGCAAGGAGACTCTTTGGCAGAACTTCCCCTTATGCCTCCGGATTGTGCATCTCATCGAATGGAGATGGCTCTGTCGGCGCCGCCAGGGCTGCCAGCACCTCCTGACAATGGTATTGGCTTTGCATACTGTGGCTCTGTGCCACGTGCACAGGTGTGTTCGAGCAAGCTTGAGCCTAGCCACGTACAGCCCAAGCTTGAACACACCTTCAACAAACAGGCCTGGACTCAACTACAGAGGCATGCACCGTCATCGAACTGCAGACCATGTAAGCTGAGAATGCTACGAAAAACTTCGACGCACCGACATGAAGTAAGACTCAGTCAAAACCACGGGTGGAGATTAGATATTGTCAAACACCCTGAATTCTGTCCAGGCAGAAGCGATTCATAACCTCCAGTAGAGCAGAGCATCGGTTCGAGAACGTCGCAGGTCATGTTTAAGCATGCTTTTCCACCCTGCCTGGCCCATCTGCCTCGCCTGGCTGGCGAAGTCCACTCGCCACGCGTCGCCAGTGGAATGCTGGGAGGGCAAGCAGGAGCTGTGGTGTGCTTGGCTTCCCAGAGCTGAGAAGAGACTCCCCGAGATGAAGAACTCCACAGAGCCGACACAGAATGCAGAAGTAGATAGTCGTGCGCTTGTCCCTCTCAGCACAGCCTTGCCTGCGTCTGCCGCGCAGACGACGTGAAGGAAGCCTTGGCAAACGGAGAGGCGGGGATTGGGATGGAAGCTTAACCACTCCGGCCACGCAGCAGTGGTTGTCTGCATAGACAACGGATGCTTTCGAAACTCCTGCCCCAGCGGCACCATCGATACCAGAAGGAAGTTACGAGTTACGACTGAATTGTGACTAGGTGTGTAAGTATCTTGCTTTCCTGCGAAATCCCGTCCCATCTTACTTTACGACGAATTTCCATTCCGAAGACGGAGTTCTACTGGAACATGACAGGGAGCTTAACTCGGAAGCAGCCAGCCTGAGCTATACGACTGCACTGGCTGAACAAACTGCAAAGGTCAGCTGCGCAGGGTAATCCTTTAACTTAAACTTAGTCCTCCTCTGTGAGCAGCGACGCCGCGGCTCTGATGGGAGTCGAAGGCTGCAGGAAGGACTCCCACCCCTCCAATCGCAAACAGCAGGGGCCAAGCCCTCGTGACTCTACATCCTGCATCTCTTGACTGCATGTTGCACCCATGGCGCACCGAACCTCTTCCCATCGGTTCGATCCGACAGCGGGACGGTCAGTCAAACTTCCTGCGAATAGCGAAACCCACGCTCTTGCTTTTACGAAGGCAGCTGTACATGGAGAACGTGCCGGGATCTCTCGGCAGTCTGAGTCACCAATCCAGTCTCCTGCTCCGTGGAAGGTCTTGGAGAATGGCTTTTGTCGTCCACTCCTGGTGCTCCGCGAGCTTTGGCTGGCTTGCTCAGACCTGTCGGGCCAAACATTGGCAATGCCTTACTCGGCTTGCACACACTCCATCTACTCTGCGGTGGCCTCCACGTTGTTCGTGGGTCCATATTAGGGCTTGCCTGAAAGAAGGGTCCACAGTGCATCATCATAACCCGCTCACAAAGACTATCCGATGCTCAACACTAAATTCCCCACACCAAGCACGCAGCGGTCTCAGAACGAACCCGGCCAGAGCCTGCAACAGCTTCTCATATACATCAAGCTCATCTATGATATCTATGTCTCCATAACATGCTCAGGCATACCCTCATCCCGTCCGGCACTCCCGAACATGTCCTTGGAAGCGAAGGCTTCCACCAAGCCGGATCGCCGATTTGCCGTCGTCTGTACACGCGTTTGAGCTGCAGGTATTCTGCAGCTCAGCTCTGATTCACAGGCTCCCTCACTTTCAGCGAGAAGCCATCGACACTACCATGTTTCTTCGCCAATTGCAGTAGCGGGGTGGTTTCTGTCACCGCAGACATCCGTTTTGACGGGTCCCTTTGATTGTGTGTCCGAGCCAGTGTGCTTTGATGTTGCTCGGCTCAAGTTGGCTAATTTAGACCAAAGATGCGTACATTGTGGGCCCAAGCCTTTTATTGGCGCATTTATTGGCGCATGCCATGTGTGTACGCCCTTGGGCCGGCTGATTGCAAACCACTGAGTGCTGAGTCACGAATCAACGGGCAGCGCATGGCAGCTGCGGTTTCACATGCGGCAAGGCAACAGGTCGATTTTGCACTCGCGTTGGCGATGACATGTATTTCTGGTCCCCAGAGGCTGCGGCCAAGCGTCCGAAATTAGCCCAGGCCGGCATTGAGGCTCGCAGAGACTAGGCCTTCGGCCAGGTCTACAAGATTGACCTGCCGGCACCTGAACGCAGTTGCCGCAGCTACCCCTGCCTTGCGGCAAGCTGCCCACCTTGTTCCTGCTACGGCTTCTGCCTAGCCTCTGGCCTCCGACATCGAGCAGCCTGACTTGGAAGGTATTGTCTCTGTGACAGACCTCCGGCGACCTTCAACCCGCACATAGATCTAGAAGCTGAAAACTAGAGCTCAAAAACGAAGCTACGAAGCTGCAGGGCAGGGGCAGTAGTGTACAAAGGGCTGCCGCGGCCCGTAGCGAGTCGAAGAGCCCATGGCAGACACGCGGCAAACAGACAAGCCGAGTGCGAGCGTATCTCTGCTAAGTGCTGAAATTGATCATGCTTGGGGAGCAGCGCGTCAAGACCGCTTCGGCAAACCACCGGCTCCATGCGGAGCTGGAGATGTAAAGCAAATTCCATCCCTGAAGGATCGTGCAGGCACAGGCTCTTCCTGAAGGCAGGAATCGAGCAATTCCAACAGGGTGTCGGCATAAATTCGCACAACAAGGCTCGCACAAGTCTGCGCTATGGCGGGGCTCTTCGGCTGAATCGGGGGCAAATAGGTCCTGTGGAAGTGGAATGACCCGTCTTCATGGTCATGAAGCTTCAGATGCTTGAGTTCGCTCTGGTTCACAGCCATGCAAGCGCTCCCGTTGCCGGTGTTCTGCGGCGAGTGCCTCGGGCACGAGACGCAAAAGGCAGCCAGCGTGACCTCCGACCCTTTGATCCGGCCCCGTCCGGTCACTTGGGTTGCAGCAAGCCAGCGTTGCCTTCAGGCCTTACTCAGCGGAAGGGAAGTTTGACTTCGTGGCACGACTTAATATCTGGCCATTGGTCTGACAGAGAAAGTACTGCATCGCAGACTCATGGAACCCGGGACCATCTACAGTAAGGTTGCAGTCGAAGGCTCGCATGTGTTTCTTCCCACGAATGCGGTTTGCTTTCTGGGTCCGATTGCCCGAGCTCGCACAGGTGAAACAGAAAAAGATAGAAAACCACTGGAGACCAACATAGCCAACGTCCTTTTAGAACGACGGTCTACATCTACATTTCAAGAGTGATTCTTTCGTCGCGGGCAGCCGAATGGGGACCTGCTGCTGGAGATGCGGAGGCTGCGTCTGCTGTTGGCAATCTCTGGAGGGCAAGACTGCGACGCCTATTCCGCTCTCGCCTCTTTGAATTGGAACTTTGAGAGCTGGTCTTTGAGCCGATCCTTCTGACGGGCTGCTCACGGTGCTCCTTGCATCGCAAAGTGCCAACAAGAGTAGCAAGTGATGGGTCATGCTCCAGCTCCAAAGTGGCTTTCATCGTACACACTCCGAAGAGGTTAAAGCTCCCAAGCACCTGCTGCGGCTCCGGAGGATCACTATCCAAAGAGTTCACTGCTGACTGTATTCGCCTGCTTAGCGAGGTGGCGCCCACATCTGGTGACAGGTCGTATATACTCATCTTTTCGAAATCAGCGAAGTGGCCAGTGCACTTTGCAAAGAGATTCTCGAAGTCATCGCTGGCAACAAGAATTTCGAAAGTCACAGCATCGAAAACGATTGAGTAGTCTTTATTTACCGACTGCCCTTGTGCTGCTTCCGACGCCATTGTGAGCGTGGCGCTGTCCGACCGGAGAGGGGCCACAGTACTTCCTGTGAAATCCGGTGACTCCTTGAAGCCTATCAATCGGCAAGAACCTCCGTCTACTCCAGTGAAGCTCATCTGGTAAAGCTCCGTCTTGATTGGCGTTAGAGCAGAGTCGACCAGGCGGGTCGTCGTCGTTGGGGACACCTTGCTTGTGCCCGGAATACTCGTCAGGAAATCCTCTACTCGCTCGCGATCCTCGCTCGTGACCTTAGGATGCCAACCCCCCTCCCTCCCAAAAATAGAAATGCGAACGCAAATGTAGCAGGAGTAAACTATCAACCAGCTGAGACCTCCGAAACATGCACGAAACAGACTATGCTGCTAACAGATGCTGAGCACCAGGTCCAGGAAGTCCGAGCCCGCCAGTGTTGAAGCAGAGTTCTCGCAGAATAACATTGTGCCGAGTTGTGGAGAGTCCTCCAAAAGCCTAAATGAAGCATCCAGCTCGATAACGCAATCACAAATCCCACTCATCAGCGTTGTCGCTGACTCCATTGAGGCACGCTTGGTCTTCAACTGAACGGATTGCTCTGCTGCAAGAGATATAGAGCCATGAAGTGTGCAGGTCAGGGTCATTAAAAAAAACAAAGATCCGAAGGCGATGTAGACCATGTCTAGATCTCGCCACCACAGAACGCCACTACATAGGCAGTGCCCAATAAGCGCTTTCCAGCCCCACTGAACCCATAAGGCAGAAACCAGCCGTGGGAGGATGGTCAGGTACGCAACTGCTTCCACATCCTCCGCGTTTGCAAAGAAGTGCGCCATGGCACAGAGGAGCTGCATGCCAGCATGCAGAGTATCCAAAACAAATGGTGAAACCTCACATGGCAGCAGCAGCACCGTCAGCATCGTCCAATAGCCTACCAGAACAGGAATGTCCAGAGCCAGGTACACCGGATCGGTGGCCTCGCTAAGTTCGACCTGTATCCGTATGAAGCGAAACACACCAGCAGCCATAAAGCATATACAAGACTGCTGAAGAATAGCTCTTTGCACATCTCGATAGGCCTTGATGCGCTTCTTCGTGCCCGACACCCTTCCCAACCACCTCTCCGCCTGCACCACAAGCTCCCGACACCATTCTTTCATAAAGCTTCGGCTGTTGCTCCATCGGGGAGCCAAGACAATCAGGATTTTGAAAACCGTGACAGCCTGCAAGACCGCTGCCACAGCACCCACTACAAGTGCCACGGTTGACACCGGCGGCATCACCACGTGGAGCAGTCTTCCAAAATGATCCGAGCCAAACTTTTGCAACATGGACAAGTGGCGCGGTAATCCTGTCGGGAACTATGCCACCTCAACTCATCTTCGAATGCGGTTGCAACTAAGTACCTGGCTCCTGGTCTTCGACAGCCTCACCTTTCCTGAAGTTAGGCCTCAAAGCTGCTCCGTCGGCGTGGCAGAGGCTACTTTACTTCAGACTTGATACGCGGGATTGTGAACACGCGTGAACACATTACCTGACGTTGGCCAATTGTGCGCTTGACGCAAGGAGTTCTGCCAGGCGAGCAGCAATCCCACTCACAGCTGAGGCGAACCGGACGAATGTCGAATCGTGCGATCTCCCGGGGGTGCTTGCTCAGACTTCATTCGCTCCATCTACTTTTGCTGCTCTTTCTGGAGCCGACCATCCTTTTAAGGAAGATTGGTGCTCGATCGACATGTCACGCAAGATGTGATCATACACCCACGCCCTGCACATCAGATCCGAGGGAATCTGACATGGCGCTGACAGAGTCGCAGAAACCCAAGCCTAGAAGATAATGTATGCATTTAATGTGGATGGGGGGATGTTGCCCGAAAACTACCCCGGTCTGCGTGAGAAGATATCGTGATGGCCTCTGCGGTCTCAATTGCCTAAACAGGGGGGGCGATTGAAGCCGAAGATGCCAATCCGGAAGATCAGCCAGGCGGGCGGGAAATGGGAGAGTGCTCCAATCTGCCTTTGGTTTTTTTGCCAGGATTTGGCATTTCGGCTTTGGGATGGGCGGTCAGGTACTCCTTAAGGCTCGCTACTCCGCGAATCATGCGTGTGGAGAGGCGTGAAGGTCAGCTCAAGTGTGCGGTGCTGTCGCACTGGTCGGCGCAGGGAAGCGATGCAACAGGCAGCAGCATGATTCCCGACTCCAACGAGGACCATAGTTCTGGTCAGATCTGCGCAGTGGAAGCCAAATCTCTGACCGTCTCCGGCTCTGCACATCGCTGGGCTGTCTGCGCACTTGCTGACTGTTGGAGAGTCTTCTGCTGGGGAGGTTCGGCAGCCGCTTGTGGAGTCACCCTTGCAGGCGTCTCCCGCAGAGCAGCAACAAAAAGAGAGACACTGCCCTTCGCCTGCGGCAACTGTTGTCGATGTCGAGTGCTGCAACCTTTTGGGACAGAAAACAGCTTTAACGATGAGAGTTTATGAAAGACCTAGACCTAAATGACCTGAGTCTCTCCCAACTGCTGGCATTCAGGCCTTGCAGCGCAGCTCTTCAACCAAGGCTTTGTGGCTGTCCTGCAGCTCCTCTGCCAGGGCAGCTTGCTGTAAGCCAGTTCGAGGTTCAAGAATCCACCAGGCCTGCACCATAGCTGTCAAATCATTCACCCGCTCTTGCGTTTCCTGCAGAGCCTGAATCTGCGCCATGCACCGACGCACCACTTCGGTGTTCACATCCTGGTACCCTGTCGCAGACAAGCCTAAGTGCCTGGCTTTGTCTCCCATGACCGTTTCCAGTCGGCCCTCTTCCTTGGAGAGAGCCATCCTCGCCTGAGAGGTCGCACTCGAGGACGTGGGCCAGCTCATGAACGAAACCTTGCTTCAAGTGCCGAGCCTGCGTAAGCGTTGCAGCCACGCCGCGTATGTTTTCCTCGCTTGGCAGGAATCTTGGTTGCCAAGCGATGCCCCCGTCGGCAACACTTGAGACATCGTAGATTGTCGTGGAGAGGACAAGAACAGACCGCCCTTCTAGCCCCAATTAACTACAGGTGCAAGTGCCACGCCTCCAGGGTTTTCTTCAACCTGTGCATGCACTAAAGAAGTTCTGTGCCTATGCCACGAATCTCCAGGGGTCGAACTCTCCCAGCTCACGGGTCTTCACGGCCAGCCTCGACGAGAGCACAGGCTCCGAAAGAGCTTCTCCCGTGTCGCGTCGCTTTGGGCCCGGTGCTGGCGGCCAGCTCTGTGTGTGCACTGGTGCGATTCCTAGAGGCAAACAACAGAGCCGCAAACAGCAGTTTGAAGGCTCCCCGCCGGTCCTGCCGTATGCGTGCAAGCATGACATCCGCCCGGTCGGGCAACTCTCTCCTCAGCCACAGAATTCGCTTGAACGTCTCTTGAGCAGAGACTGTAAGCTGAGCTCCGCACGCTTGTCTGATCACCGCGATCGAGCGCTGCTTCAAAGACTTGGCCTCTTCTTCGGAGAGGAGCTTAATCGCCTCACGGCAACCAGCCTGCCTGCATGCTAAATGCGTTTAACATGATGCAAGCATTGCCGCAAGAGCCTGATGGGGCTGAGTGTTCTTCTTGTCCACCTTGCAGATTCAATAGAACTAGCACTGGTCACTGGAGCTCCACATGACGCCAATCTTGCCTCCGGCAAGGATACACTGGCTCCAGTTGCCATTCGCATCTGCGCCAATTCGCTCTCCACCTAGCACATAGCACATTATTCGACAGACCAGCACACTGGCCCAAAAAACAGCGGTGGTTGACGGATCTGTTCACCATGCTCGAGCTGCTCGACTCCTAGACCAGGGGCAGGCTCGCCTGAAGCCTGCGAGCTCCCGTGTCGCGCGAAAGCTCGGCTCGCATCGCCTGATTGACTGCCCGAGGGTAGTAGAGATGCACTGTCACAGCACAATGTGGCATCAAGGGAAGTAGGGAGCATGCGCAGATACCAGCATTACATGTATTACCAGTAAGGACAAGGGAAGCATTCCGATCCCTTGCAAGGCGTCCTGCAGGTCTGTTAGAAACTGCTGGGCTTCCGCTTCCAGCGAAAGGAGATCCTGCAGGATTCCGGTCACGACACAGCTCACAGCTTTTCGACTTCATCCTGGGCCCCACGCCTGGCGTGAGCGCTCCAGCACACCTCGCTCCCGACCGAGCGCCTGGACCCAAAGCACTTCAAAAGCTCCCTTTATCACACTTCCCCCTCAACACCTCCTCGACAGCATCCCGGAAGTTCTCAAGCGGCCTCGCGAAAACAAAACGCGAAATACCTCGGGCATCCGTCGTTGAAAGGCTTCTTGAGACTCTCAGGTGTCCGCGGCCGTCGCTCTCGGAGCTGAAGTCGCTTCTCACAAACTTTCAGATCGGCGAACCTCCATGCACCGCTGGCGGTGGACAGGTCCGATGATGCTTCCTATGCATACCTGACTGTAGTTCGCTCTCTGCAGCGCTGGCCTTGCATAGCGCATGTGGACCAACCGCGTTTGGCAACCTTCCACCTGCGACTCGCAGAGCCCTTCATCGCCACTCATATGGGACGAACAGTTGTCGCAACAAGCCTGGGTGATGGCATCTTCGATGTCCTTTATGCTACGCTGCGCGTCATTGATGACCTCCACTTGAAACGATGTATCGAGTACTACTTCGGCAGCTGAACTGCACTGCATGCAGCACCTCGGTGTGCTCCCGAACACGCCCACGCACTCGACGCTTGAGCTGCTCCTTCCTGGCCACATGACCCCTCTTCATGGCCCATATGCACATCCCCTCTATACCAGCGCGAACCCCAACAACATGACGCTGCTAGGCTTCAAGTCCCTGAGGATTGCAAAGCAAGGACTTTCTGTAGGACGGCACGCCCAGGTGTCACACTTGAGATGCAGCACTGACCGGCGGAAGCACCGTCTGAGGGCCCCGTAACAAACAGCAATTCTGCAAGGTGCGACCTGCGAGTCGAAACAAGCGGGGCTACTCCGGGCTCTCTCACTCAGACAGTCCGTTCAGGGTGATTGCCGGCATTCCTTGGTTCCGAAGCCGAAACATGCCAGCCATACTCGCGTTTTTGACCTTGGTTGGTTAGTGGTAGCAAACGGGGCATGAGCGAAGCTTGGCAGGTAATGCAGTGTTCTGATTGATTTGACACCCGTCCCTGCCACATAAATCGCTCGTCGAGCATGCATACGCCGCATTCAGATGATGAAGCTCGTGGCCAGACACACCAGGCATGGAACGAGCGGCGGATCCAAGCCCTAAACCTGCTCTCTTTCCGCTATGTTTTTCCGATACGTTCCAAGGCTGGCTTCACATTCTCGGCGGGAATCCCAATGCTAGTGCAGAAAGGGTGTCCTTCGCATAAATCTTTCGACGGTTTCGCCGTCCAAATCCTCGGCAAAGTAGTCTGCCCCAGCGTTCATGAGCAGCTTTATGACATCAAGGTGCCCGAACATGGCTGCGTAGTGGAGAGGCCTTCGTAAGAGAAGATCACTCACGTTCCATGACGCATTCCTGTCGAGCAGCTGTTGCACCAAGTGCGCGTGGCCCCTTGCCGAGGCAAGATGCAACGGGGTTTGTTGGGAGCGATCTTTGGCATCTACATCAACATCGGCAGCATCTGCCAGCAGTTCTGACAGGATGTTGCCGTGTCCGTTTGCCGCTGCATAGTGAACTAACGTACGGCCGAAGCGATCCGGCGGTGCCTGGGACTGGTTCAGCAGACGCAGCTCCTTGAAGAGCCGCAGGTCACCTGCCGAGTCCAGGATAGACAATTTTTTCTCCAGCATGACTGACGAAAATTTGTCCTGTTATTCCAAACCCTACGCAAGAGATACTGCCTAGTTTCACGTAGTAATACATATTGCCCACAAGGTCAACTCTTTCGGCTCTTCCTTCCCAACCGGGCGAGCTCAGACCTAGAAGCACACCTTTGCCTGCCAGAACTGCCCAATGTAGGGGGCCACGTCCATCGTGATCTGTTGTTACACAGAGCTCGGTGTGGAGCAACTTCAAGGCTGCTTTGGGAGGAGACTTTCGCGTCTGAATGGCGGTCACCAGCGGTGTTCGTCCCCACATATCTTGCGCAGACATCTGAGAAGACAGGGCAGTCGGCTCACTTGCACCCAACCACTTCGCGACATCCGAGTAACGGCCGCTCGCAGCGGCAACATGCAAAGCAGTCATGCCATATGCCTGGTCTGCCTCCGTCATGGCATCCTCTACCTCGTCCGTGTCCCTCTCGGCGCGACTGTACATGTGCGGTTCTGAGGTCTCCTCTGAGTCCTCGGAAGCTTCGAGGAGCGCCGCCGCCGCAGCGTGGCCCGTCAGCTTGGCCCAGGCGGCCGCCGTGCGTTGCTGCCGGTCGGCGTACTCTGCCGAGGCACCAGCGTCCAAGAGAAGTCGGAGGAGCCGAAGGTGGCCGCGCCTTGCAGCCCACTGCAACGGCTGGCATCCAAACTCGTACTCCTGAGCATCAACTGCGGCTTGCGCCCGCAGCAACTCTGAGGCCATTTCCTCCTCACCATGCAGGGCGGCCCAATGGAGTGGAGTCCAGCCCAGCTCGTCCGGGGCAGACACAAGTGTCACAGATGATTCATTGGCTTCCGCCAGCATCCCCCGAAGCATTTCTAGATGTCCGAACTCAGCCGCCTCATGCAGCGGCGTTCGGCCCCACTCTGCAGTTGACATATCAACACTTTGATCCAAGTCATCCGTGGCATCCGTCGTGGAGACCACAGAAGAGCACAAGCAGGTCTTGTGCAGCCCGAGACTGGCGACCCAAAACAACATGCGCCCAAGGCTGCCGGTTCTGTACATGCTGCAGACTTCTGGTGCCATCATGGCGGGACGGATGCCGTGCTATCACTGCTTCGATCTTTGTGGGGAGGTGCCTCAACATGCCAGCTCTATCGCAAGTCGATGATCAAGCCTTTTGCCATGCTATGCTATGCTCATGTGTCAAGATGCTGCCCTCTTTGATGGGTGAGTATTTCGGCATCTTCCTCTGAGGCGATTGCGGCATGGGTCTACGAGTCTTGGAAAGAGAATGAACACAGGCAGTCTGGACTACCTCAAGGCGGTCTGGTCGGGCCCCTGCCACTTTCTTTCATCTCCTTGTTCATGGCATCAGCAGCCTCGTTGACCTGGCAGAGGGCTCCGGCTCCAGACAAGATCTTCCGTCGCATGCCATCGCATGCCACGGTGGCAGCCACAGAAGCCCTCCCGGCTTCCCATTCTCACGCCTTCGACGAAGTGCGGATGTCAGCAGAACTTTGCGTCCATCCACGTTCATAAAGCACCTACAGAACCCTACCATACCCTACCCGATGCAAGCCGGCTTCAGGAAAACGCCGTGCTGTGGGCACAAGGCCCCTACAGGCCATGCTGGTGTGCGTGCACTCCAGCCGGTCTGTCAGTTCGAGAAACTGAGCACAAATTAGTCACTATTACCTGAAATGCGTGTAATACATGAACTTGGTTATTCATGTATTTGCAACTTCAGTCCTGGCAGACCGCGCGTCATTCAGCAGCACAGCAGCGGCAGGGTATTCAAAACGCTCAGCTATATCTACAGGATTCTACAGGCCTGCGCAAAAGCAGCGCGAGAAACAAACAATGCAGAAGAAGTATATACAAGTGACGGTCTACCTGCCTTGAATCGTTCTCGGTGATTCACGGAGTGTTGACCGCATTCTCGGCATAGCCACGCAGTCTCACTCACACGCTGCTCTGGAAATCCTGGCGCAATTGAAAGGAACACCATGTGAAGATGCAAGACCCCCTCCTAACTAACCTCGATTCACATAGAAAAGCAAAAACCGGAAGAGAGAGAGAGAGAGAGAGAGAGACAGGGGGCGAAACAACAGAGATAGGGGAAGCAACGAATGACAAACCATACATAACACGAACGCAAGTGCAGGAACACACATGCACACACTTGTGGGAAATCGGCAAGAGCAAGAGGAGCAGAGAAGAGGGCTAGTCTGTGAGCTGGTAGATAAGAGTAGGAGAAGGTAGCGCCGTGAGGAGGGGGTCTGGAGGACTTTCCAAGCCAGTGCCGAGCCAGGAATGACATACTGAAGACGAATGCAACAAACAATTTTAATGAGTGAATGATCCGGAGAGGGTTGGGTCCTGCCCCCGATGCCCCAGACACAAGAAATGGGTGAAAGGGCTCCCACAGCTGCCCTTTCTAGGGTTCAAGAGCCTTGCAGGTGCGCTTTCCCTGGGTGTGGGTGAAGAGCTTCGGTGGACGGAGCTGCACACCCCCTCGGGTGCCCCTGCAATGTGGGTTTGAACCTCCCCCTGCCATGACCTAGGCAAGCCCACAAACACAAGACCCCGACACGCAGACTGACAGACACAGATGGACACAAACCGACACAGACCCATCGAGACACACAGACACAGGCACACGCAGTCACACTCAGAGTCAGACACAGAGCGACACAGAAGGGAAAGAGGGACGGACCGGAGAGAGAGGGAGAGAGATACACCTAGACAGAGACATGCACACAGATGTTGACACAGAGAAAGACACAAAGAGAGAGAGAGAGAGAGAGAGAGAGAGAGACAGACATTGACAGAGAGAGACAGAGAGGCAGACAACTGATCCCTCAACCACTTCTTAAGAGATGGGGTACAGACTCGTGCTTTCCGTTGCCGAGTCGAAGTAGCACGCCCCTCGTGCAAGACCACCGCCCTCCGTCATGCGTCGACTGCTCTACAGCTGGTTCTCACGTAAAAGTATGTAACCTCAACTACAATACGGTCTCCCACGCTTGTGACACATGTGTGTTGTGACACAGGTGTGTCGTTGGAAGCCTCTCTCTCTCTCTCTCTGTCTAAATTCATTCCCGTCCCTCAGATCGATGAACGGGAATACACAGGCTGCATGCTGAGAGCCACCGCCTGCAGTATGCGCAAATATCGCTGGGTCGTCTCCTGCATGGATTTACAATCACACAAATACTGACAGCCCGCCCTCACGAACCAAAGTCCTCGACACCTTGACGCTCTCTGCGAAGATCCTCCACTTCAGTCTTCCTGCCGAGCATACAAGCTTGACACATGAGGGCCTTGCCTAAGCAGTCTCATGCGCATATCCGACAAGCACCCACCATCTTCTAGCCCCGAAATTCATCGAATCCAGCAAAGACGTTCGAGTCGGATCTGTGACGATCATCGTTTGTGCCTTACAATGCAAGGCCCAGGAGATGCCTAGGGCCTGGTGCATCGACACCTAAATACTTCATCATGCGAGATAAACCTTCATCGCAAACAATTTCCAGACGAGCCTTACCTTCCACTTACTTTACTCTGAACCTTTTCGTCCGAAAAGGTAACATGAGAAATGCTAGAAGAGTGATCTCCTGCACTGTGCAGCAGCTCGCAGGGCGGCCAGGCGCAGCTGCAGGGCGTCTGCATCTGCCAGGGCCGTGATGATTGGTAGAATTGGTCTGGGACCACATGGTGCTTCTTCCTTCCTAGAGAACTCGGCATTGTTCTGCGAAGCCCTGCGCAAGACCGGCGAAGAAATCAGCAGTTGCGGTAGCCGCCTTCATGACCGTCTGCAGCAGAAAGATGCGGGAGGTCCTTTCTTCGTGCACGTGCAGGCAGCCACAACGGCATTAGATAAGAATCGCCAGCTAGTGGCTTCGACCGCAATGGAAGCTACACCCAGGCGGTATGATGTTGCAGAGCTCTGATGGCCCCGCCTGGTTCTCCTGGGCCTGAAGGCTTTCGGCAGATCCTGATGCGTCTGCAAAACGGAGTTGCTGAGTCTCTCTCTTCTTCTTCTCCCCGGCATAAGGGGCGAGTTAAGCTTGCCGGGCACCAGGCCCGCCCGTTTCTGGGGCTTTTAGAGGGGAGTGAAATGAGATGGATCATCGACCGAGCCTTCCCTCTTCTTCTCCCGCACATCAACAAAACTAGTATTACAATTAGAAGTTAGAAGGTTCTGGTCTTTCCCCGCCATCATTGAAACATGCGTAAATTTATTGCACGAATACATAGAGTCTTTCTTTCCCAGGGCGTAAGGGGCAAGTAAGGCCCCCCGGCCAATAGGCCCCCCATTTGTTATGGGGCTTTCGGGGGTTGAAAGGATCTTTTGTTCGAGCACCGGGATCTTTGTTTTGTTTTAGGGCCCTTGCTTCACAGCAGGCCTTAAATACATAGAGTCTCTCTTCTTCCTTCTTCCTTCGGGTTAAGGGAGCTGGCCATGGGGCCCCCCAACGTTCTGGGGCTTTCGGGGAGACACTATACGTACCACAACACCTCTCTCTCTCTTTCTCTCTACCAGGTGGGGGAGCCCGGGGGCTTTCTGCCCCCAGCCCCAGCGCGTGTGCGCGCAGCCGGGCTCTCTCGCTCTGTGCCGTTGCATCCAGGCAGGCAATATGCATGAGGCTCGGCCCTTCAGGCCCCTCACGAAACAGCGGCAGCAGTCCGGGAGACCGCTTTTACGACCCCTTGACCCTCTGTCCAACATGTCCAACATGCTGCCTGACTGTGCCACACCCCGAAATCCCGCTTGGAGGTGCATCCAAGCAGCTGAAAGACGCCCACGCAGAAGCACGTGTGCCGCGCATCTTTGGCGCAGCTACCCTGCACCCAGCACTCACATTTTGCAAGACTGCGCGGAACTATGGACTCTCGGGGCCTCTCTGCATGTGTCAGGATGGCCGTGCACTGCGTCCGTATGCGCATTTTGACAAGTACAAGCCACGGCTGGAAATCAAAGCCGGCAAAGCAGGGGAAAGTGCAACTCGTTGTTGACAAGCGTTGTCCTCACTCCTTTTGGTGACAATCTAGTGTTTGACACCCCTGCAAAAGCAACCTGTAGTGCCACGGGACAAGATCACAGCGAGTTCGCAACAGTGCAAGTTTCTTCTGCAAGTCGGTTCGGGTGAGCCTGCCATCTTCAAACCTGGACAGCAGGAGTCAGGACTTCCTAACTTTGTGACTTTGTCAGTGACCTGAAAGCTTAGCCTCGAGCGTCGGCTCGGACTGCCTCTGCTGAGCATTCTGCTCGACAGAGGCCTGAAGAAACGCAGATTCCTCTGGAGGACACAGCTTTGCCGGCCTCGGCCTGCTGCGCTCGCAGGCGTGACCATGTCAGCTTCGCTCCTGGCCTCACGAGACTTCATCAGTTTTTTGCTCAAGGATCGATTTGCAAGCATGCTAGGGTCGAACTCTAAGTGCCAGGCGAGTGCCTTGGGGACTCCGCAGGAGGCACGGGGACCCCGGCAGGGGAGTCGACAGCTCCCAAGGCTGTGCTCTCGGGCGCTCCCTGCGAAGCCTCCGTGTGCGCCTCTCGAAACCGCTGCCAGCTGAAGCGCTGCCTCAACGCAGCTCGGCGCGGCGAGAAAGAAAAATCTCCCAAAAAAAGCTCCAGAGCCTGGGCCGCTCCGCCAGCTCCGACTGCAACGGCTGCGCCTGGCTTCCTCTGCATGACATCACACAATGATGTATTTATCCCTTCAACACGGCACACGGCCTCTTGATTCAGCGGTGGTCGCTGCGGCCTTCGCCTTCGCCTTTGCCCTGGCAGCAGTTTCTTCAGCTTCCCTCCGCGCTGCATCGGCCCGCAGGGCAGCGTTGGCACGATCTTCGGCGTCGCGGGCTGCTTCCGGGCTTCTCCAGGCGGGCGGGTGAGCGGAGCCCGCTGTTTGCGGCGGTCTGAAGCTGGCTGAGGCCCGCTCCTCAGCAGGCACGAAAGTGGAAGATGGGCTGGCCTTTGAAACTGCAGTAGCCTTAGCAAGTACCGCAGGACGAGACACAGTCGGAGCTTCTTGGCCGGAATCATCAGCACCATCGTCCTCCTCTCCTGCTATGGGCAGCGAGTTTGCCGGCTTACCATGCAGGCACAAGCTAGTGTGAACTCACGGGGGTCCTGGCGCACGCCAATCTGCAGGACGGAAATAGCTACTAGTCTGGATGTTCTCCAGCTCCTCCAAGTCGGAGATGTCGATTCCCTCGGTCCAGTTGCTTAGAGGGCCCGCGGAACTCATGCTCTCGCGCAGTCGCTGTACCACATCACCGCGCGAGGCCAATCTCCGAATGCCGATCACACGCAAGAACAGGAACTCAGCGTCGTGGATGCCACCGTAAAGCGAGCGAAGATTCAGGTTGGTCGCTTTCGTCTCTTTCAACTCGTCTTCCACTTCCCACCAAGATTCCTTGGTGTATAACCGCTTGGGTCTGTGCCGCCTGGATGCATCAGGAGCCGGCAGAGATGAGGTCCCAGATGAGCTCCTCGTGCGTTGCTGATCTTGCCGGCTCATGTTGCTCCGTCCCTGAGCATGCGCACCTTCCCTTCGCAGCGGGGTAGTCAGGTCAGGAAGCTCCAGAGGTGGAAGCAAGAGCAGGCGCTCTTGGGAGAACGCACGTCGCACGTCCGCATGCCAAGTAACCGAACTTGTCCTGCAGGCCTTCGCCAGGCTGCTGTAGACTTTGCTTGCCAAGTTGGTCATTGACTCCAGCAATCCGCGCGCAGTCGTCGGTGTCTGCTGCAGGCTTTCCGATAAAGTGGGGCTGGAAAGGGCGTCCTCCACATGCTTCACCAAATTTCGCAAGGCTGTCAGCAAAGATCCGGGCGAAAAGCCCGGATGCGTCTCCGGCATTCCCAGCACATCCAGGAAATAATGCCGAACACTCGGCCCGTATCTGAGATAGTGTGCCTGCAGGGACGGCACCTGCGTCAACCATTGGATCTCCCCGTCCTCTTCCCAGGTGCACTCGTCAAGATGTCTGAACTGCAGAGGCACAAACACCAGTTCCGAGAGAGCTTCCTGGAGATTCCTCGACAAACCACCTTCTGCGATTGATCCGAATCCGGAGGCCACTTCTTTGTAGATGTCCGCATAAACCTGCATTGCGGCAAGCATCAACCCTGGACAATTACAGCTACAACAAAGAGTCGCCTCGATGTTCTGACATCGACCTTCGTCCTTCAGGAGGCGCAAACTTCGGAGCAATCCTGCTGCAGAAAGCTCCACCTCAGGGATCTTCCGATCAGGGTTGTTTCGCCGATGCAAGGCAAACAGTGGTCGAAAGCCACTTCGATGAGTTGCGGGAGGTGAGCTATAGGCCTGGAAGCTACCTGTAGCAGTGTCTCACAAAGCCAAACTAGTGACAAGTGCCTTGTTCTTTCCATGGGCACCCAAAGGGAGGCCCCCGGCCTGCACACCGAGACACTGCAAGCACCTGCGAACGAGTTCATCCTCGGCGGGCTGTCTTGTGGAGCCGGATCCAGGAAGCCGGACGTAGTGCAGGTACTGCCCACCCAGCCTGCCGTAGACCTCTAAAGGCAGTTCGAGGTCCATGATGCTCCATGATGCATTGCGGCATGTTCGTTTGCCTAAAGTTGTAGCCTGACTTCGTGCTGCATGGAACCGTCTCCCCCTCAAGCCCGGTCCACCTGTAACAAGAATGCCGCGAGCACCCCCCGCCCGGACAACAACATCGTGCACAGGGCTGCTTTCACGGAGGCACCAACGAAAACGCTACCACGTTTTACCGAGTGTCGTCATGCAAGAAAACGTCTTGCAAGTGGATCTTGCGCAGCACCTTGCGGTCCTTCAACGGACCTTACGATATTTGGGGTCACCAGGCTTGCGGTATCTTCACGACACCGCGGACAGCACACGTCTGATAATTGAGAACTTGTTCGCAAGGGACTCTCGACTGCTGCCCAAAAACTGAATTACCCACCCTGCCCTGGAGTTCGTTGACTTCACCAAGCTGCCTTGACCCCTGGGGGCATCCACTTGGACAGCAATGGGCAAAGTCCGAAGCCAATGCGATTCAGCATCGTCAGCCCCGCGGCAGCGGCGAGAAACGTAGGCCTGTGCTCGCAGCCCGCGCTTCAGGAGGCCAGACCACCACTCCTGTGTACAGAGGCTGGCACCAAGCCTTGAGGCCAGGTCCTGCGTATGCTCAGCTTCCGCTGGCTGAAAATTTTGCACGCCAATGGCGTGAAGAAAGGCCTCCCATCCCAGGGCATCTTCTCCCCATGTCTTTTGGCTGAAAATATCTTGAACCACTGCTGTATCTAATGGCCGCGACTCATCAGCGCAGGTAAAACCGAGGTACGAACTACTCTGCAGCTTCTGTGGGCGCCGCAAACTCAAACGAGCATTGCTGCTCATCTGGAGGCCCGGCAACCATAGCCAGGTGCCCAACTCTCTCCTCGGTACAACTCAAGACCCAAGACCCAGACGAGGCCGAAAACACAAACACTGTGCGTGGAAGCAAACGGGTCTTCAAGTCTTCCATTTGTGGCAGGCACAAGTCACAGCACGACAAGGTCCGCAACATGGTTGGGAGAAAGCGGTCGCTGGCAGTGCTTGGAGGCACGAGCCAAGCACCAGTTTCCACGAACAGAGCTAATCACTATTGAGACAAATATACTTCCGAAAACGCCAGAGAACAAAACAGGACACTTAGGAGGAACACGGACAACTATGTGCTTCAGTGCTTCAGTTATAGATTACAGGTTACACGCCTGTCTTCGGTCTGGCGAAGTTTGTAAAGGCCAGTGTGAGGCCAGTCCTGGCTCTTGCTTTTTCCGTTACGATGGCATTGTGTTAGAAGCCTGGAAGACTCCGAGTGATTGGCCAGGCCTTCGAGAAACCTGCATGTGACTGGAAGTCTCTACAGGAGCCGGCATGCCGATGAGATGTGGAGCAGCGGGTGCGGGTTTGCTGGCAAAGGGCGGCAACCGAAACCAGGAAAGGAGGTAACAGAAAACTGTGGCCGGGAGTCGTATGTCGTAGCAGAAGCCAGGAAGGTCACTGTAACCGGAAGCATCTCCATACAGTCCAACGAAAACCGGCAAGCAGGAGGACTCTTCAACCCTAAACCCTGCAGCAATCCACCAATGAACAAACAACATTCCGAAAGCCTCAACCCTATATCACCAGCTTGGGAAAGATTAAGATTCTTGAAAACGACAACCTTGGGCTCTGAAACCTGCCTCTCTCAGTGGCCGCAAGCCCTTTTTGTAGCTGGGCTCCAAGTCGCTGCAAGCGCTAAACCCTAAAACAATCTCCACGAAAACATGAACAGATGTCGTTCAAGGATCTTGCGTTGGCACGGTTGCAGAAAGTGAAACCCCAGTTCCTGGTTCCAGTTGGCTGTGCACCCACTCAATTCAGAAAAGTCTCCACCAAGCCTGTCTCGCTTCCGGATCTGCCTTTGGTAAAGGTAGCGGCAAGTCTAGACCAAGTCGACTTCCCTCTGGAAGCTCATCACTGAGGAACGTTTCCTTCAAGCATGCAAGGCTTGCCAAAAGAGCTTTCATTGGAGTCGGCTCCGCTGTCACACCGAGCCCATTGAAGGAGGTCAGGTGCCAGGATATGCAGAGAGCTGCCAGTTCGGGGCGGCTGGGCATACCCATCGTCAACGATTCCATCAGGTGCGGCGTTGCATTCTGCAGTGCCAGGCGTACCCGCGGCTCCACAAACTTGAGCAATCCCACCTCGGACAGAAATCCCTGCCAATCTGCCCGAATCTTCACACACGGGCGAGAAAAGATTGGACCATCGCTGATGCGTAACGGTGTACGCGAGCGAAAAGCCGGCAGCAGGTCAACATCCCAGACTTGGGCGAGCAGCTGACTGGGCTGCTCTGCCTCTCTCAACTCCATGTCAAGCCACGTGCAAAAAGGCACAAAGAACTCGCAAGGGTCCTCGGTCTGGGCAGCGCTGCCCACAAGACCACAAGGCCAGGAGGATCCACGGTATCTCAGCACCTTGATCCAATGCTCCAATGAAAAAACTTCAAGAACCCCCGCGCCAACGCCAACTGTCGCCACAGAGCTGGAGGATGCAAAGCTTCGGCCGCAACTGAGCTGTAGGAGCTTGGCCGGAATCAGCTGGGATGCTGCCAGACGCAAAGGGTGCTGCGGACGCTCAAAACATTCCTCCGGTTTCGCAACTGCCCCTTCTTCTGTCCGGATGCAAGCAACATGCAGCAACGAATCCACGAGCTTGGTCCGAACGTGTTGCCAAATTGGTCTGGGAGCAGCCTCGCAGCCCACAAACCTCATTGCCTGACAGCTGACATCATGCCCGGGTCCAGCCAGAAAATCTCCAAACGCTTGTGGGATCGCATTACAAAGGATCTGGTTGACCGTGCTGCCTCTGCGAAGAGCGGTGGTGAAGAAACCATTGAAAACTGACAGCATTGCAAAATCAAAATCAAGAGCCTGAAAAGTCGCAACTCTTGACAAGACACCTTCGTGCAGATCAGCCCTGCTGGCGACCAAGTCGAACGGGGCATCGACAGCAAAGTGAAAGCCCACGCAGCGAACGGGAAGGCCAACATGCACAGACATTCGAGGTGGGCAATCGGCTATGGGGAAGACCAACCTCATCACGACTGGGCCACCAGGGTCCACACCTTGGACCTGGAATGGATGAACCATGTACTGGAACATCTTGGCTTCCTTTTCCTCCTGGCTCTCTGCTGGCTCACGAGACCCCAGCATGCTTATGGACTGCACCAGCCCTGCTCTCTCAAGTCGTTCCAGGCAAACGATGTTCCCACCGGGATATTCCAACTGGATGCGGCGGAGCTGCTTCAAGAGCAGAAGTGTGACATGATGCTGGCACAATCGATCGAATGCCTCTGCAATGCTGTCTGACCCGGTTCGGAGTGGCAGATAGATGACCGTCCCCGCACTCTGGTGTGCATCTTGCACTGGTTTGGGCAGCTTCTCCAGCTCGGAATCCTCTAGCCATGTCGGAGTCACATAGGCGAGCTTTCCCAGAGCTCCGCCAACATCAAACTTGAAGGTGAAATCGCCGGAGAGAACGTGTGGACACTGCGAGACTGCAAAAGTACTTTTCCAGCCAATGCCCTTCTTGCCAATGCACCCCGACCTCATCCAAGGCTGAGAAGACCCTAGAGCCAAACATGGCATGGTCCGAACAAGGAGGCCTCCCTACTTAGAGACTTAAAGCCGTCTCCAAGCTGCGACTTGGAGCTCGCATTGATGTCGCACATAGCCATCACATCACTTTCCTTCAAGCCGAGCTCGTTGTTTTTGGTCATGAAATACCTCAGACTCAAGACCAGGAGAACTGAAGAGACGCCTGGTGACATGTTTCGGTGATTTCGGTCTGACAGCCCAGGGACGAGCCAGAACCGTCGGTCTGCAGCGACATGAACAGTTCAGGCTGCACGTCCTCTGAATACTTGTTGTCATCGGCATTCTGAACCAATTCGAACCTCAGCGAGCACCCCTAGCGTCAGTCGCCAGTGCATGCGGACACTGATACAAAACAAAACGTGCGCAATGCAGGATGGCTAACCAATAAAGTCAATAATCGCTACACGTGCACAGCAAGCTTTGGGACTTGCGAGAAAGAAACACGAAGTGGCCCTCGAGTTCGTACAAGTCTTGCGCGAGACGGTCCACAGCTGCACTCAAAGCTACCTTCCAACATGGCAAACTGTATTTTGTTAGGATTATCGGATGAGATGAACCATTTTACTGCGTCCCCCGAGATCGGCTGGCAAAGGTCTGAAACCACCCGCGACATGGCCTGAGTCTTCTGCGCCGATGCCCGCAGTGCGCCCAGAGATGAGTCGGAAGCCTGTTTGGCAAGAGCACGAAAAGTGTGCAGCAACCGTGTCCATTGGACAGGCTTCCAAGCTGTGCGGCCAGCACTCCTTTTGTTCCCTAGGTCACGAGGTGGCGGTGCTCTTCTGTTCGGTCCCACGCTGTTCCACATCGCAGACTGGCCACGACGGCACAACGCACAGATAGCCTACACCACACCCACCCTAAGGATTACCCAGACCTAGCCAAGTTCGTCGTTCCAGACTCCAGATGACAGATACATCTAAATGAGTCGGAGCTTGCTCCTGCCAACATCAGTGCCAAATAATTTGTTGTGTCTGCCATCACTTCCGTTCGGGGCGTCTGCACACGAATTATTGGAACATCTTGGGAGGGAGCGGCATGAACTGCAAACAATGACTGGAGTCTCTTGAAATTTAAGGATGCTCGTGAGACTCCAAAGCTCAGAAGCTGGTAGCGTGGGCCCAGAGAGATCATCGGAAACACCGGACGTGTGCCGGGAGATTGCCTGGCTGTGCA